TAAAGTATAAAAGTGCTTTACACAGAAAGTGTCTCACCTGACAAGTAAAACAGAGAGAGAGAGATAGAGAAGGAGAGAGAGAAGGAGAGAGAGTGAGAGAGATAGAGAGAGATAGAGAAGGAGAGAGAGAGAGAGAGAGATAGAGAAGGAGAGAGAGAAGGAGCGAGAGAGAGAGAGAGATTGAGAAGGAGAGAGACAGAGAGAGGAGGAGAGAGAGAGCTATACAATGCTGGGAGCTGCTGTGAAACTTCCAGAAAGTTCCCACCACAGACGTCATTTCCTCAAGTTTGGGGTTTAGCCTTTTAAGAGCAGTTTGAGAGAATGTTGTTGTGAATGTAAATTCATAACATTTTCATTTCATAGTTACCCGAATAATTCATAGTAGATACTGAATACTTTATAGTAGCTACTGAATATATAAGATTATATACTAAATAATAAAAATTAGGTACTCAATAATTCATAGTAGATAGTGAATATTTAGTAACAAGCCTGGGGTTTAAGGGATTAATTGCTAAATTTGTATACCGTTATAGTTGATCTGTAAGCTCATAAAGCTAAAAGTGGGTGTTTCTAATAAATTGGCCAGTGAGCGGAAGTAGAAGGTAGGTGTTTCTAATAAAATGGCCAGTAAGCGTAAGTAAAAGGAAGGTGCTTCTAATAAAGTGGCCAGCGAGTGGAAGCACAAGGTAGGTGTTTCTAATAAAGTGGCCAGTGAGTGGAAGTAGAAGGTAGGTGTTTCTAATAAAGTGGCCAGTGAGTGAAAGTAGAAGGTAGGTGTTTCTAATAAAATGGCCAGTGAGCATAAGTAAAAGGAAAGTGTTTCTAATAAAATGGCCAGTGAATGTAAGTAAAAGGAAGGTGTTTCTAATAAAGTGGCCAGTGAGTGAAAGTAGAAGGTAGGTGTTTCTACTAAAGTGGCCAGTGAGTGGAAGTAGAAGGTAGATGTTTCTAATAAAGTGGCCAGTGATTCAGATTCGGCTTGTACGGTCAGATTACTCAGTTTGTGGTGCTGTGCTGAATTTTAAAGAGAGGTGAAACGCTCCTGTTTTGTTTCCCTGGTCCTCAGTCCTCCCACACGTTCACATGCATGTAGGCAGCGAATGCTCATATCGGCCTGTGTGTTAGAAGCCTTTTTAATGCCTGAAACACACTGATCACAGTGCTGTGTTGTACGGCTGTTGTATAAGTATGAATTGGATAAGGATTAAGTTTTCTCTCTGCACCTTAGAGACTAGTGAGAAAAGCTTTAGTTACACTGTCTGTGTAAAGTCAGTGAAGTTGGATTTAACTGGATGCTCCCACAGATGTGTTCTTTGACAGCAGCTGTTGGAAAATTTGAGATTTCATCGAGCACTGAATCATTTTCTAAACAATCATAACTGAATTGAATGATTGTGAGGTCAGAGGTGCTTACTGTTCTCCATGGAGCTGTTTGTGTGTGTGTGTGTGTGTGTGTGTGAGTGTGTGTCTGTGTGTGTGTGTGTGTGTGTGTGTGTGTGAGTGTGTGTGTGTGTGAGTGTGTGTGTGTCTGTGTTTTATGTCTGTTTCTGCAGCCAGAAAAGCCTCCTAATACAATCAGGGCTGTAATGGATTCCTCCATAAACGTCTATCAGGAGGGCCATTAGAGCTGTAGAGCAGTGCGGGTGGGCTTCAGTTTACACTCGTAAAGATCACTCACACACACACACACACACACACACACACACACACACACACACACATTTGTGTATCCAGTGCTTTTTTTATAATTAAATGTTCTGAAAATTCTGAGATTTCATGATATACAGAATAATTTGCCAAAGAATCATTATTAATTAATTCAGACAGTCCAGCTTGGATTGGATTTAGTACCAAACTGCCCATCTTACTAAAAAAAGCAGTTAATTATAACTCTTGAGCACATGATTCAGTGTATTATCAATAATTGAATGGTGGGGAAATCTGATATACAGAATCATTTGCTAAGGAATCGTAATTAATTGATTCATACTATCCCAATCCTAATTCATTGATTCAGACAGTCCTGCTTGGATTGGATTTAGTACCAAACTGCCCATCTCACTTTTTTTAGCAAGATGGGCAGATTGGTACTAAATCCAATCCAAACTGGGTTGTTTGAAACTATTAATTATGATTCTTTAGCAAATGATTCATTGTATGAATCATTATTAATTGATTCAAACAATCATGCTTTGGATTGGATTTAGTACCAAACTGCCCATTTTAATAAAAAGAGCAAGTAATTATGATTCTTCAGCACATGATTCAGTGTATTTTTAAGAACTGAGTGGTGGTGAAATCTGAGATTTTATGATATACAGATTTTTTTGCAAAAGAATCATAATGAATTGATTCCAACAATCCAGCTTGGATTGGGTTTGGTACCAAACTGCCCTAAAAAAGTGAGATGGGCAGTTTGGTACTAAATCCAATCCAAGCTGGGCTGTTTGAACCCGTCAATTATGATTCTTTAGCAAATGATTTAGTGTACTTTTAATAATTGAATGGTGGTGAAAGATTCTCTGAAGAATCACAACTAAATGTTTCAAACAATTCTAATCATTATTAATTGGTTCAAACAATCACGTTTTGGATTGGATTTAGTACCAAACTGCCCATCTTGCTGGAAAAAGCAGTAAATTATGATTCTTTAGCACATGATTCAGTGTATTTTTAAGAATTGAGTGGTGGTAAAATCTGAGATTTTATGATATACAGAATCATTTGCAAAAGAATTGTAATTAATTAATCATCCTAATCATAATGTATTGATTCAGACAGTCCTGCTTGGATTGGATACCCAACTGCCCATCTTGCTGAAAAAAAGCGAGATGGGCAGTTTGGTACTAAATCCAATCCAAGCAGGACTGTTTGAATCACTTAATTACGATTCTTTAGGAAATGATTCAATGTGTTATTAATAATTGAATGGTAAAATCTGGGATTTCATGATACACAGAATCATTTGCTAAAAAGCTTAAATAATTTATTCAAACAATCCTGCTTGGATTTGATTTACCAAACCTTGCTGAAAAAAGCAGTAAATGATGATTCTTTAGCACATGATTCAGTCTATTATTAATAATTGAGTGGTGAGGTTAAATGTTATACAGAATCATTTGCTACGGAATCGTAATTAATTGATTCAAACAGTCCTGCTTTGGATTGGATTCAGAACCAAACTGCCTGTCTTGCTGAAAAATTGTGGTGCCCACATGTACACAGTATCTGCTTCCCCCAATACATTAATTTAATTATGATTCTTTAGCAAATGATTCAGTGTGTTATTAATAATTGAATGGTAATATCTGGGATTTCATGATACACAGAATCATTTGCTAAAAAGCTTAAATAATTTATTCAAACGACCCTGCTTGGATTTGATTTAGAACCAAACCTTGCTGAAAAAGCAGTAAATGATGATTCTTTAGCACGTGATTCAGTCTATTATTAATAATTGAGTGGTGAGGTTATATAGGTTCATTTGCTATGGAATCGTAATTAATTGATTCAAACAGTCCTGCTTTGGATTGGATTTAGTACCAAACTGCCCATCTTGCTGAAAAGCGTGGTGCCCACCTGTACAAAATATCTGCTTCCCCCCAATAAATGTATGTAATGTGCCGCCCTTGGACAAAATTACAATGACGGAGCTGAAAGCATTTAATCCCCCACTGTGAGCGAGAGTGGAATACAGTGTGGGGCCTTGTTGTAGAACCAGCAATCACATTAACCCCCCAAACACAGCAGAGCTCACACACACACACACACACACACACACACACACACATATAATAACAGCTAATGCAGCTGGGCTGGAAAGTGTGTTTATTTTGGGTATTTATTGGTATCTTGATAAACAGTGTATTTTATGTATCGTCAGTACTGAATAAACACTGAACAACTGCTTGATTTATTACAGAGAGATCATCTGTAGTCCTGTTTACTTAGATTAAGCACAGTGCAGTGTTTTTAACTGCGGAACTGCCAATGCGCTGTGTCTGTGATATGTATTGTGTATTGACAAAAAGTGTTGGGACATGATATTTTTGCCATATCGCCCACCCCTGTACTTATAATGTATTTATAATGTATTTATAATTATACCACGGTTAGTTCTGATTCACAGAGTCATTGGCTGAGGGGCAGTATCTCCCCATATTGGCACTCCGAATGAATCTCTTTTAGCATTGTATTCGCTCTTTACCTAGTAATGGTAACCGGACTTTAGTGCATAATTCAGCACATAATTTACTAAATATTATTACAGTCGATTATATCTATTCCAAAGTAGATACAGTTGAGCCATCCCCTTCAGATCCATGTATTTATGCATTTGTACATCTCTAAAGGCCGCTGCACACTAAACGTGCCACCTTGCACTGCATTCAAACATTCGGAACCCTTTTAACCCTAGTACTCCTAACACAGTTCAGTTCCTCAGCACGTTACAGCGCGCCACTCAGCATTTTGCCATTAATAGATCAAATGGAAGCCGTATCGAGACCACAGGAAACCACAGTAAATCACATGTGGCTTTAAATTTACACAGAGAAAGGCAGCCAGTCTTTTAGGAAAACAGAAAGATGCTAATGGCCTGGTACCTCAGCTAATGCTGTTAGCCTAGCCTTTTTCAGTGTGTGTCTTTCAGCATTGAAAAGTTTGTGAAGGTCTAGTAAAGTGATGCTAAGTGTGATAAGCGATGTTGAAGTTTTATTTCATTCAGTTTATGCGAGAAAAACGTAAAATGAACTTAAACCTCTCCTTGTTGGCATTCTGTAGCAGCGCTCTGCTAAGTGACGCTGCCAGAGCCGGTTTAAGGGAAGCCTGGCCAGTTCCTATTTCTGTAAAACGCAAGGCAACCGTGAACGAGGGGGCCTTCAAAAAATAGGTGGAGATGAAGCTTAACAGCTAAATATGAAAACTTAAACTTGTTTTTAACCACTTGTCCAGACTTCCTTTAGGAAACTAATCAGTGTCTTTTCATTTTCCTACAGCATACAGGTTTTAGCACAGTAGGACGCTACTTCTAAAAGGTAATTGGTTAACATTACTGCTACTGAATGCTAAGTGGTTGACATTACTGCTACTGAGTGCTAATTGTTTAGCATTACTACTACTGAGCGCTGATTGTTTAGCATTACTGCTACTGAATGCTTGACATCATTGCTACTGAGTGCTGATTGGTTAGCATTTCTGCTACTGAGAGCTGATTAGTTAGCATTACTACTACTGAGTACTGATTGGTTGGCATTACTACTACTGAGTGCTGATTGGTTAGCATTACTTCTACTGAATTCTTGACATCATTGCTACTGAGTGCTGATTGGTTAGCATTTCTGCTACTGAGTGCTGGTTGGTTATCATTACTGCTACTGAATGCTTGACATAATTGCTACTGAGTGCTGATTGGTTAGCATTTCTGCTACTGAGTGCTGATTGGTTGGCATTACTACTACTGAGTGCTGATTGGTAAGCATTTCTGCTACTGAGTGCTGATTGGTTAGCATTTCTGCTACTGAGTGCTGACTGGCTGACATTACTGCTACTGAGTGCTGATTGGTTAGCATTTCTGCTACTGAGTGCTGATTGGTTAACATTACTGCTACTGAGTGCTGATTGGTTAGCATTTCTGCTACTGAGTGCTGATTGGTTGGCATTTCTGCTACTGAGTGCTGATTGGTTAACATTACTGCTACTGGGTGCTGATTGGTTAGCATTACTACTGAGTGCTGATTGGTTAGCATTTCTGCTACTGAGTGCTGATTAGTTAGCATTACTGCTACTGAGTGCTGATTGTTTAGCATTACTGCTACTGAGTGCTGATTGTTTAGCATTTCTGCTACTGAGAGCTGATTGGTTAGCATTACTATAAGCACTGATTGGTTAGCACTACTACTACTGAGTGCTGATTGGTTAGCATTACTACTATTGAGCGCTGATTGGTTAGCATTACTACTACTGAGTGCTGATTGGTTAGCATTACTACTGAGTGCTGATTGGTTAGCATTTCTGCTATTGAGTGCTGATTGTTTAGCATTACTGCTACTGAATGCTTGACATCATTGCTACTGAGTGCTGACTGGTTAGCATTACTGCTACTGAGTGCTGATTGGTTGGCATTTCTGCTACTGAGTGCTGATTGGTTGATTAATATTGGAAGCAACATTCCAAAACCCATGTAGTGGAATCAACACCTTCAAATTAATGCACCCCATTCATAAAATCAGTACAGGTATGCTTTCAGCTAGAGTAGCTGCAGAGTCAGATCAAAGGCATACATTTCTCCAGTATTACACACAAGCAATAACTTGAAATATAGAAAAAATAAAAAAAAGAATGTAACTGGATGTATTGGTGTCACTGGAGGGAGTTCAGAGCTGCCTTTAAATGATTTGTTCCATTCACTAATGTGGCCGACTGATCCACTGTATTGATTCATGTTTCACTGGGGAATAACGGTGCTGTGCAGTGCTAATGTTGCTAATGGCTCTGCAGTGTAGACTCACTCTTCAATCTGTCTTTATACTGTCAATATGCTGACCATTCTGAATGCTCACGGTGTTCCAGCTATATCCATTACATATTATTTATGATGTATTTAGGAAGTCTGACTAACACAACAGTGCTTACCACAAACATTGGGCCTCATTTACCAAACATTCTTAAGAAGAAAATTCTTCTTTAAACCCACTTACGCAGTTTTTAACGAAGATTCTGACTCACCAGTGTTTTCTTATCTGGGATTTGTTCTTAGGTACGAACAGATTCTACACACACTCAAGAGCACAAAGGTGGGAACGGTTCTGCGCTTTAAGAACACGTCATGAATCTGATGTAGACTTTTTCTTAGAACCTTTCTAAAGAACACATTTAGGAACAAATGTATTAAGGTATTGGTGAATGAGGCCCAGTGTGCATTACTGAGGATTTCAGTCCAGTTCTAATCAGGGGTGGGCGATATGATATTTCTTGATTATTGTGATACATTTTTTTACGATGTGTTTTTCTAAATATATGATGGGCATCATCAGTATGTCTTGAGCACCAAATAACTGCATGGATCATAATAAAGAACGATTTTGGCCAATTATAGAAAGCTTGTAAACAACAGCAACAACAACAACAACAACTGGTGTATAGTAACTGCATGATAACGAGTGACTAATTAGATTAGATATCATCATTTATTTACACCAGTTCTTTGATTTTTCCTCCCGATCTTTTTTAAACAGTTCAAACAGTTCGAAACAGGTCATGTTCAACATAAAATCATCCTCAGAGTTTTTCATCCATCTCTCTTTTTCCTCAGAAAAATGGCCTGTATTGTGAACTGGGTGTTGTCTTGAATCATCATGATGTGTTTTGACCTGTTATCCATGCTTACTTTATATTATGGATTGTTTGGCTTTGCACGCAGGCCGTCCTCCACATCCCTCTCCTTTTAGTAAATGCGGTTTTTGACCGGCTTCAATTCCATTTCAAATCTGTGTCATTTGGGGCTCAGAGCAGCTTACACACTAACGAGCTTCCTGCCCCCAGTGGCCGCCCAAAGGGGGGTCACTGCGGCTCTCTGTCCATCTTCAAAAGCAGTCGTGTAGACCGCGCAGGGATTAGACGAGTGTAGAACATGATTTTGCAGAAATGTATTTTTGTTTCTGATCCTGTAACAGTAACTGTAACTCCAATACTCAATGCTTTTATATATACATATATATATATATATATATATATATATATATATATATATATATATATGAGTGCAAGAAAAACATATTCGTACATATATATTTCTGTATAAATACGTATACACACAGACAAGCATGTGCGCACACTCCATCTATCTATCTATCTATCTATGTTTATATGCTGCTGAAAAACTCTGACTTCCCTTTAGGGATTGATAAAGTGTTCTCCCTTATCTATAATCTTATTAATGTTGTTTTCTTTTAAATTTGATTTACATGACATAGTTAATCTCACTTATCTGCATAATTCCTTAATTAATTACATATTTATGTGACAAATTATATTTACAATCAGTATCAACAGGTTAGCAAGTTCACTTCTGTGGCTTCTCTGTTTGCCTTAATGTCAAGAAATGACAAATGCATGGCAAAAACATAAAGGATGTTTTTTTCACAGACAAAGATAAATATCTTTTGAAAGTCAAGTCTTGATAAAATATCTCCTCTTCTACTAACGTGGTCTTGACCGAAAGTTTAGAATCTGCACTTTTCATAAACGTTCTCTGCTTGTTTCAGCAAGTCAGACATATCTTAACAAACTGTAGGCAGAGGTGTTTGAACTTGTGTCGGCCACTGCATTAATATGTCATACAGATGCAGTTAGCACCATGCTAATTGGTGGGGCATAAGCTTCCATTACTTGTTAGCTACATTAGTGGTAAAACTAAAGATGCATTTTTTGGCTGCTAAAGCTGCTACTTGTTCATTACATGTAAAACTGTTGACGTCACTGTATCTATTTGTCTTTTTAAAGTCTTTTTAAAGTCTGTAGGATCCAGATTAAAATGCCTTTAAAATTCTGCTGTTTCTTAATCTCACAAGCCAAACTCATGCTTCATCAGAGAGTCTAGTGCCTTTTGTTCCTTAACGTGGTCTACATTGACAGAAAAGAGCCGTCTGACTGATGAAATAACCACAGACTGTGGAGGAGGAGACTTTCCAAATAGGGCAACAACAAAAACGGCCCCACAGGAAACAAAGGTTCTGTTCACATTACCAGGTTAAAGTGGCAGAAAATCAGATTTTTTACTTTAATGTGACTCAGATCTGATGTTTTCAGGGCTGTTTGGACGCACAAATCTGATCTTTTCAAATCCGACTTGAGCCACTTCGGCTACATTCACGTTACAAGCCTTGTTGCTCAAATCCGATTTTTTGCTCTAGTCCGATCTCTCTGACACGATGGTTCACACTTGTTTAGGTAAGTGACTCAAATCTGTCATTAATGTGACGAACCGGCGTCCTGAAATGACCCTCATGCTCACGTCCTACTCAGTAACGTCACGTGAATGAATCACGTGCACCATCAGCACAAACTAACGAGCAGAACGAGCTTCGCTGAGAAGATAATTAACTGATCAGCTCTCAGCTTCATTATGAGAGCGAGACGAAGGAGAAAAAGGTGAGATGAGCTGCTTTTCCACCGTTTACAGGCTTTAACTTCTGTTCGGCGCTGTTGCCATGGTAACGCAGAATAATGGCACACGCGCAGTGGAAAAAAAATCACATGAATTCCGATCTGAGCATCACATTAAGGTTACATGGCCACGAATCGGATACGTATCCGATCTAGGACCACATATGAAAGTGACTCGAATTGTCGAATAGTTGAATTTGAAAAGATCAGATTTGCGTGTCTACACAGCTCTGAAAGCATCAGATCTGAGTCACATTAGGGCAAAAAATCAGATTTGTACCACTTTAGCCTTGTAATGTGAACATAGCCTTTCATATGTGGTCCTAGATCAGATATGTATCTGATTCGTGGCCATGCGACCTTAATGTGATGCTCAGATCGGAATTCATGTGCTTTTTTTCCACTGCGCCATCATTCAGCGTTACCATGGCAGCAGCGCCGAACCCGAAGTTGAAGCCTGTAAACGGTGGAAAAGCAGCTCATCTCACCTTTTTCACCTTCGTCTCGCTCTAATAACGAAGCTGAGAGCTGATCAGAGTTAATTATCTTCTCAGCGAAGCTCGTTCTGCTCGTTAGTTTGTGCTGATGATGAACGTGATTCATTCACGTGACGTTACTGAGTAGGACGTGTTCATGAGGGTCATTTCAGGACGCTGGTTCGTTCAGATTACTGACAGATTTGAGTCACTTACCTAAACGAGTGTGAACCATCGTGTCAGAGAGATCGGATTTGAGCAAAAAATTGGATTTGAACAACGAGGCTTGTAATGTGAACGTAGCCAAAGTGCTATGGGCTGACAAACGTGTGCTTACTCACTTTGAAAATGCAGTACGTACAACCAATCAGAATGATGCGGAACTGCCTGAAACT